TCCTAGGAAGGAGCATCAGTCACCCAAGGGGACTGGTTGAAACAGACCGTGGGCGTGGGCCCACACTGCCTCTGATCCAGGAAATCTGGGGCGGGCCCAGGCTCCCAGGCAGAGCTCATGGGCTGGCCTGGAGACCGCGGTGGAGTTCCCGGGCTCAGGGCCTTGCTGCCTCAGCACTGTGGAGGGGCAGGGTCATCCTCTGTGGTGGGCTGTCGTGTGCGTTGTAGGGTATGTAGCAGCATCCCTGGCCTCTATCCGCTGGGTGCCAGTAGCACCCCAGCCCCCAGCTATGACCATCAGAATCTCCCCAGACATTGTCAGAAGCCCTGGGAGGCAAAGCCACCTGTCATGGAGACTCACTGGGCTGCAGAGCCTCTGCCCTCTCCTCCCAGACACCAGCCCAAGTGGTAGAAGTATTCAGTCCCCTCTGGGGTGAATGGCCCGCACCTCCAAAGCTTCCCCAGGCCAGGAGACAGAGCACGCGGCCCTTGCTCAGGGCGGCAGAGCAGCAGCACCCATAAGCTCATTAGAAATGTGGGACCTCAAGTCTCGTGGACAAGGTCCCCAGGTGCTTTGGGCTCAGGGCGTCGTGGTGTGAGAAGCCCTGTCTCTGCTGCCTGAGGAGTGACTGAGTGCTGCCGAGCTCACCCTGTACCAGGGTCACTACTTCTCCATGTTGGAATTGCCAGAAGAGCACTTCGCGAGTCGCTGGTGGTGTGCATTCGTCTATTTTTTTGCAGTGCTGGGGATCTAACCCAGGTCGTCACGCGTGCTAGGCAAGCGCTCCACCGCTAAGCTACACCCCCAGCCAACTGATGTCACTTTAAAAGCCACCGTGTGCAGGGTCTTGCCTGGTGTCATTTCATCCTCTCTGTCAGAGCATGGTGTGTTCGAGGCTGGAGCAAGACACCCTGAGGGACAGGGGACAGAAGGCATCACCAGGCACAAAGCCCGCCCTAGTCACTCTCAGATCCCTCAGCCCCTCAATGATTTGTGATTGAAACTCCGTGCCCGGCTGGCCTGGCTTTCCCCCTCTGCAAGCACCTGGCGCCCCGTGGGTCTCCATGGGGGTTGGTTCTAGGACCTTGAGGACACCCAAATCTGAGGGTGCTCAAGTCCCTGATGTGAAATGATGTGGCATTTGCCCGCAGCCCACACAGTCCTCCAGGATGGGTCAGCCCATCTCCTGATCACTCTTAATTCCTCATACAATGCAAATGCTGCGTAAATAGCTGGTGTCCTGTATTGTTTAGGAAATAACAAGAAAGGGTCTGACCGTGTTCAGTGCCGACGGTTTTTTAAAAAAACACCTTGTCTGAGGTGGGTGGAATGAATCTGTGGGGCCACAGGATACGGGGACGGGGTGGGTGGCGGTGGGCTCCACGGTGCCCCGTTCACAGTGACAAGCTGTGCCCTGCCCGCCCCTCTCTCCCACAGTACTCTCCCAGCATGAGGGCCACCTACATGTCCGTGGCGGATGAGCACCTGAGGCACTATGGGAGTGAGTTTCCAGCCTAGCGGGTGGACGTGGACTTCC